TAGGACAAATTAAGCAGTTTTCCTCCTGATTCTGAACCTCATGACAATCACCTCTGACAACAGCGAGGACTCAAATCTAATGTCAAATGTTGTTGAAGATTACTGTTTTTATAGTCATAAGGACTTGGGGGTTAAATGTGCCTGCCGGGAATGAAATCATGTCATAATGCAGAAAAAGTCTTAATGGTCCCAAAGTGGGCTTTATTTTATTTATGCTAAAAAAGACCAAACAACTCAAATCTGTTTTGATTCGGGGTGAACCCTTCTCCTGACTAGCATGGCTGTGTTTGAGATGACCTCCCCACAGTAGCATACATTCGGCATCGTCTTGCACTCAAGTGTTCAGTGCTAGGGTCAGGAGGGGTCATTTACAGCAAACTACTAATCTGTACACACACTCATTACTGTTACGGGATATCTAGATGGAACTGATGTCTCCATTCACAAATGGTTGATCCAGAAAACAAAACAGAACAGAACAGAACAGAACAGAACAAAAAACAGCCAAGTGTCTGTGATTTAGAAATGCTGTTTCCTCTGATGCTGTGCTGCGAGTCTCTTGCGGTAGTGTTGTTGTGGGCAGGAGTCTAGCTGTTCTTGAGCAGGAGTCTGTCTTCGGCCGAGGGGAAGCAGTGCAGCTGGCAGACGTCTGGAGCGAGCAGGCCGCAGGAGCGCAGGTCCACACTCTGCAGCGAGGCACAGCGGCGCAGCAGCGGCAGACACTGCTCCGTCACCTTCACGCAGCCTGAAACACAGCGCCACATTTCACACAAACTAGTTCAGCTCAGGCCACCTTCCTCCTGAGCTCTGGCCTGACTCCTCACCTTCCCAGTCAAACTAGTGTACTTTTCTCACTGATAATGTAGCATTAAACCTATGAAAAAGCACATGGCTCCGGAGTGCCGACATGAGCTTTTTGCCAGTGCGTCACATGCGGACGATGACATGAAGCAGCCCGAGGTGGACTACATTAATAACAGCTGGAAGTTCATATGCTGCTTCACAGTGAAGTCTCAGAATAATCGGGGCACTCATTCGCCGCCTTTGGGGAGTATTTTAACTCTCCCGACAGTCTTTGCTATACAATGCAAACGCATCTTTTCAGGTTTGACAGTGATCAAAACTAGTCATTTCTAGAGAACTGCTTAAGCTTATGGCTGTTGTTCAATTCAATTCAATTCAATTCAAGTTTATTTGTATAGCGCTTTTTACGATACAAATCGTTGCAAAGCAATATTTAGTGGTAGCTTATCAGTGGTGACTGTCAGTTAATGTACATATGGCAGAAATGTACGGAAAATCAATTAAAGACGTAATCAAACAGACGATGAACACTATTAACAGCAATTATTATATGATGCAATCAAACTTATAGCAAAATGTGGTAGTTCTGTATGTTCTTGTGGCCACCAGCAGCAGCACATCTAGAGCCCGAGCTCATTCTCATTTTTGGCAGTTCTTGTTTGATTAATTCAGTAGTTCTGTTGACTTCACATTAGCATGGGCTCCTATGGAGACTGTAAGAGGACAAGAGTTCAACTGAGCTTAAAGTCAGTCACGGTGAAAGATGTTACTTGAACAGACCAGGCTAGTAAGTGAACTTATTTCAAAAGTCTCATGTTAATATGTACAATGTTCAAGTCCTGCGTCTATTTTTTTTTTTTTGAAAACTGTGTATTTTAAGGCTTATCCCACAGAAATGACTTGTCCCATAAACCAGTGCTTCTCATCAGACGCACCCATTTTGGGTTTTGCAGTCTGCACTAGTGAGCCGATGCAAAAATCTCAAAGTTTTGCATGTTACCATGTTATTACCATGCTACTACTCCATTTACCACTGTTTTTCTTAAAACAAAAAAAAAACGACACTTTCTAACTATATTTGAATATACCATTGCTAGTATTAACTCCATTGAAATGAATGGATTTAATTACATTACTTTTAACTCATGACTGCTGTTAATTTATGAAACCTACATATTCTTTTTCCAACAAAACAACATCAAAACATCAACATTACTCTGGAATTCTAAAACTAAAAATATTCATTTTAAATGTCTGCAGAACATCATGTGTAAAGCCTTCAATCGATGGCACTACTGAAAGGCAGTTGTTAATGAAGCATGCTAATGAGCGTTGCTGCTGCAGCGTGAGTGTGTACCTGCAAGGCTGACGTGCGTGAGGCTCTCTCGCAGCGGGGATATGGCAGAGGTCAGCGTGTGGATGCTCTGGTCTGTGATGTGGCAGCACTGACCGAGGTCCAGCTTGCTCAGGTGAGGAAGATAGCGCACTAGCAGGCGTGACACGGCGTCAGTCACCTCCAGGCCCGCCAGACGCAGCTCCGCCACGTTCTGGAATCGCCCGCCGCGGTTCTCTCCGTGAGCTGCAGTTAAGAACAGCGGGTTATGCTGAGCGTCTAAATCATGCGTCTTTAACACATTCAGTACTCTCAATACTGCCCTGACTTGAGTCTACATGCACAATTACTTTTTTCATTTTCCCATTGCAGTGTTTCAACGTGTAGCTTTTGAGCTCTGATAAAAGATATGCAACTATAAAGGAAGCAGCCAACATAACCAATATGAAGACTAGACAGACAGACAGACAGGCCCTTTCACTCATTTCCCAGTTTCAAACAGAAAATACTCTGGTTACACTTTATTTCAGGGTGTCTATGTTACAGTATTATTATATTAATGAAGCACCCGAGGGGTTTTATAATTCTGCGATAACAACTGACTGGATGTACATTACCCTGCTTATTACACAGCTACGACCAAACACTGGAAGTCTCTACTGCGAAAGGATGCAAACAGCAGAACTCAATGACCAAACAGCAGAACTCAAAGGGACCCCAAAAACAGTGAGTGAGTGTCTCTGTGTGTGTGTGTCTGTGTGTGAGTATGTGTGTGTGTGTGTGTGAGAGAGTCTCTGTGTGTGTGTGTGTGTGTGTGTGTGTGTGTGTGAGAGTGAGAGTGTGAGAGTGTGTGT